CGTTATAACAAAAAGAATTTATTTCCTAGAAAACAGGTTTACAATTTTGTTAAAAACAGGATATTATTTATTTCGATATTAAGAAAAAGAAACTTTTTTATTTTGTTACATTAGTTAAAGGCTTTACAAGACAAAAAAGACAAAAGGATATTTAAACTATCCTAAACAATATTTCACTATTTGTAACAGTCGATACCTTTTTGAGAAAGCTTGATAGATTTTATATCTCTATCAATATAGAAAGAGATATTTCAATCAAATTTGACAAATTTAAGATAACAAAAAAGCAGTCCTTTACTTTTTTTTATTTTTCTTTAGAAAAGCTTAGTGATATAGCAGAAAAGTCTGATTGGGAAATAATATTAATCTTGAAACAAAAGATTATTATTGGATTAAAATATATAATTATAATAAATCATTTATTTTATACTCTATTTAATTATCTATATTATACTTTTTTTTAATTAATCAGATATTTATTATCTTATCTCGTCTAATCAATAAAGTATTTTAAAGTATATATTAGTCATTAAAATATATAATCCTATATTATATTATACTAAGCAAAACAGAACTATCTGAGTAGCTATAAGTAAAATTATACTCTCTCATCCTCTTTCTCTCTTTCCCCCTTTCCCATTCCCATTCCCTCCCCAAATCATACATAAAATCAAATCAAATCAATTATATTTCGTTTGTGACAAGTAGTAATATATATCTACTCACATACCCACCAACCAACCTTCAAAGTTTGAATTTAACTTAATTCACAGCCTCAACCCTAATCCCAATCCCAATCCCAATCCCAATCCCAATCCCAATCCCAATCCCAATCCCAATCCCAATCCCAATCCCAATCCCAAGCCATACATATCCACATACACACCCACATACATCATTGTATGAAACTAGACTGACGACACACATAAAGCCATAAGAACAATCCCCAATCAAGCAATCAATCAATCAATCATCTCCGTATCACTCAATCCCCAAACCCTAATCATCTCCATATCCCTCCCTATCTCTCTAGACATCACTAAACATCACTAAACATCTTCAGATACCCCTCATACGCAACCTTCAGAATAACACAATACAATGACTGAATGAGTTGAGGACATCTATACCTACCCCCTAAATCAAATATAAGATGAAAAAAAGATACCAAGCAAGACTTCTCAGTAGGCTGCGCAGAAATACTCCGCTACCCGTGGGGACCCGTTGAGCTTTCAAAATTATCCGCCCCGCAAATACTCTGCAAATACTCCGCAAATAGTCTGCAAATTTATTGATTTTTATAATATTAATATAATTAATATAAAGATTAATATAAAAACAAATATATTTTTATAATTATACTAATATTATATTAATATTTATAATATTATAAATATTATAAAATTTATATCTGCGGAGTATTTGCAGCGGATACCCAACGGGTCCCCATTCAGATTTTTCTATTATCCGCCCCGCAAACGGAGGACCCGCGGGTACCCGTTGCGCAGCCTACTTCTCAGCGATTCAATATACCGGTACGTTTTAGATTAAGCGTACTACTATTAGCTGACCTAAGACCTACCTCTCATTTATTATATGCACATTCGCCTCGATAAAACCAACCCCTTCATAGCAGAAGATATAGAATTACTATCAACTTATCAACCAACTCATCAATCAATCCATCCTCCTTCCCTTATCCGTCTCCCATTCACTCCTCCGATTCCCCTACCTCCACCCCCATCCCCCAATCATAGAAGTAGCAACAAAAAAAAGAGAACAGCAAAACGCCAATCTCTTGCCCTGTACGCACCATATCCCACAATGAATCCCAAATCTTTGCTAATAAACACAGTCCAAACGACGACTTTCGGGAAAATAACACAAATTCTTAATCTCTTTTCCCTTTACCTCAAAATTCCAAATTCCAAACCCCCAGCCTGTACTTTCTGCTCCCCTTCTCTCATTCTCCGGTATTTACAAACGGAAAGAGGTAAACTAACTGGGTGTCGTGTACATCTCGGGTTGTGTCTTTCTTTTTAAAAAAAACACTAGTCTTTCCACCGAATATCAAACGCAAGCGATGCATCGAGATCACCGGTTCCCATTCAAAGAAATGACATATGAAAATATGCTCGCGAGAGGTCTTTCGTCCTATCGATCATCCAAGCGACTGCTCCAAAATCCATCATATAGCATAAACTGTAAACGTGCTTCTTCAGCATGGCAATCGCCAAACCTTAGGATCACCTACCGTCATATCTTCCGTTATTGAGATCCTCATGTTGATGATGATCGTCCCCATCGTGGTGCAAGGTGACGCTGTTGAATTCTTCAAACGGATCGACTTCGAGTTCGGTAGCACCTGGTGTTGTCAAACCTGAATCAAGTGGTGTTCCTTTAGACGACCCCAAAGCCCTTGCTCCACTAATATCAACACTCTCACTCTCTTTAACATTTCTGAAATTGACCGTATCAATACCGCGACCTTGATGGGGAATCATCGGAGGCTTCATATGCCTGATGAGTGCCCATTGGGTTGTACGGAAGAAGGGATGAGTTTTGACGTCAGAAGCTCCAGCTCGAGCCCCCAATCGTCTATTTTCGTCCTTGATGAGGAGTTTTCGGATTACCGATTTGCATAGGCTAGAAAATGTGAGCATTTATAAAATCGAAATATGTTAGAACAACCAACTTTGAAACTTGGGGAGACCCAGAATGTTCCGGGAAAGGAACATCATCTCTCAAAATATTTGCGAACGTAGCATTTCGATTCTTTCCTTTGAAAGGCGTTGTGCCAAACAACATCTCATAAATTAAAATTCCTAACGTCCACCAATCAACTGCACTTGTATGTCCACATCCCTTAATCACTTCCGGCGCAATGTACTCCTCGGTCCCAACGAATGAGTTTGTTCGGAAATCTGCTATACATGACTTCGTATCGATCGTTGGTAGTGAGTTGACGTTGGTGCCGTTTCGGCCAAGGATCATCGTTGGCTTTCCGCCAGGGGCGGATTGTTTCGAAAGATCAAAGTCCGACAACATTATATGACCAGACTGATGGAGCAAAATATCTAAGCTCGTTAGCATTTGCACAACCCGATATCAAAGAACAACATACTTTCAGGTTTTAAATCTCGGTAAATGAAACCCATCAAATGTAGATACTCCAATGCAGCAGTGACCTCTGCGGCATAAAATCTAGCATCATCTTCCGGTATGCATTTGCCCGGTCGCGTCTGTAGAGCTCTAAAGAATTCCCCACCACTGCAATATTCCATGCATAGATATAGATGATCCTCGGATTGAAAGGAGTGGTATAAGGTGACGATAAATGGGTGATTGCTCGTAGCCAAGATTTCCTGCTCTGCCAAAGCTCTCTTGATCTTATTCCGCTTAATCATCTCTTGTTTGCTCAACACTAAACAAGAATTAGCCAGCGCACAAAGCTTGATCGTGGAATTGCATACCTTTCATCGCATAAAGCCTACTGCTCTTCTTCTCTCTCACCAAGTACACCTTTCCAACATCTCCCTTTCCAATCAACTTAATCTTGTCAAAACTCGACGGCCCAACCTCAACATTGCGTACTTTGATTGAATTTGAGCTATATGTTCTCCTGAACGCGGGATTATTTCGTAGGTTCGGGGGTTGTAAAGGTGCTAAGTCGTCTTCTGCAGCCATGCCAATAGCATCATTTCCATTATGGCCGTCAATCATGCTCAGCATTGTAGTGCTGGCATTGTGCACTAAAGGTTCCTTCCCAAGCTCGGCCGTAGCTGGTCGATCGGCACCACCTTTATTTGAAAACAGACCTTGTGCATTTGGCGCGCTCGCAACTCTTCTCAGTTTTCGTGCCAATTCTTCCTTGCCGGCAGCTGTAGCTTGATCATTCACACCTGGGACCGTATCGACTTTGAAGCTTGGGGTATCGGGAGGACTTGGTGGTATGGACCCGTCATCGTGATGTCGAAGTGCAGGAGGGCCTTGATGTGCAAAGTATGGATTCGCATGTGCGGTTGGACTGATGCCATCATCTAATGTATTGCCTTCACTTGCTACCGTCGTCGATCGATTTCGTCCTCCACCAGGAAAGAATTTGGATTGCCGAAACGACGATTTGCTTTCCGATTTTATTGACGGATCACTCTTCTCGCTATGATTTGTTGAACTGTTTATTCGAAAGAAGTTCTTCAACTTTTGAGGAAATGGACTATGACCATTGGAATGTTTATTCGACGACATCGAGGAACCGGACAAGTTCCGCTTCTCGTTGTTGGAAGGAAGAGAATTCGGGGATGAACTGTGAAATAACTGAGTCATAAAGATTCGAGATTAACAGCTTTAACGAGGGCTGCAACTCGAAGATATATGTCGATGTTGAACAGAAGGGTCATAAAATTGAGTTTCATTCGATTCTCCTAACAGAACAGGAGATAATGTAGTTTAAGGAAGAATGAATCGGGTGGTGGTCGTCCGCTTAGGTGGACCGTGCACAGATTTTAGGTTGTGGGTTGTGGGTTTGTGGGTTGCTAATCAATTGAAATCTTTGAGTTTCTGACAGAGAAGGGGGTTAAACAGTTTAGTTTGTGAGTGGCGCAGTTGACTTTGGATCGGTTGTAGAAGTCACTTTTGTTTGGGAAATGTTTGCTATGTTCATATAAATCATATGAACACGACGATGGATGAAAAGGAAAAGAAGAAGATATTTCTAATGATTAAGAGAGTATCTAGGGTTATTAGTTGTTGGTTGTTGTTGAGTTGATGCAATACGATACGATATGACATCTATTTATATGGAATGGGGTCAATGTTCGTATAACAATATAACAATGGAAGAATGGAAGAATCATCATTTTATTAATATTAATATCAATCAGTATTCTCTCTAGTTGTGCCAAAAGAGTCAAACCGAAATAAGCCGTACGGGTTACAGTAACTCATGAAAGTTGCCCGTCGCTACAGCCTTCCTGTATTAACCGCTTCTCTGTACACTATACAGTCTACTTCAGGATGTTGTACTCGTATAGTATCAATTCTGCTTTTGGAGAAGATGACGGGAACCGGTATAGTATGGGTTCACTTTGGGGACATCTTGATAGTTTAGCATCGGGAGACAATAGGTTCGGGCTTAGTGAAGGCTGGGGTTAAGTGAATTTCACCATTTCGATACCTTCATCAATATCATTACAGTATCATTATCAACCATCAGTTTTATCATGTTACAATCAACACTCGAGTACTACGTCCAATACAATCTTCATATTTCTGTCTTTCCCTCTTTTGTACCCTCATATCCGATCTCTTTTCCATCACCAGGACCATCACCAGCAACCAGCTCAGTTCCAGCTCCAGACCTCTCCTCTCCCTCTCTCCACATAAACTTTGATAAGGAGTCCGAGTCACGGCCCGGCCATTTTACCTCTTGGGTATTCAACGGCCAAGAACTTACATTATTAGCAATCCTTCGAGTTGAGTTAAAAGGAAGCCAACCATGGATGCATCCAACCAAGCACAAAATGTATACACATTATAATTTGTGCTGTACCAACAAACCACCTCTATTCCTTCTATTCCCTATTCCTTCTATTCCCTATTCCCTCTATCCTCGAAGAACCTCTCGCTGATACTCCCCGATTGGTCAATTCCCATCTATCATCAACACCGAGGTACACGTTTTTATGTACCTATACATGCTATACCCTGTCCCGGTACTCCTTTCATACAATTGCAATTGCACCCAAAATATGCTTGACCAAAGACAACAATTCCCAATTCCCAATTCCCATCAATCCTAGGTATTCTTCTCCTCGTCTCCATTCAACTATTATATATGATCTGATATCATTACACACCTCCTTGTTCCTTCTATTCAATCAATTGATTTTCTGTGCTTCACCAACCAGCCCCTTCACGACTCTGTCTCCGTGTTCATTTACCCGAAACAAAGTCTCAAGTCCCAAGTCACTCAGTTATTTAACAAATCCATGAAACATGAAACACAAACAACAATACAGTAAACGACCGGTTTTATACAAACCTATCTCGGGGGTCATTATCGCGAATCAAGATACAATTATATGCATGCAATGCTATCTATCGCAGGATCTTCTCTGCATAACATGATATAATATGTGAGATGGGATTCCTAGATAAGCATTATAATATGCTATCTTATACTATCTTCAATATCAATTCCTTTATTATCTCTTTTCTTTTCTTTTTCTTTACTTCAATCGTATACATACATACATTCACGAATTTACCTCTTTAAGAGTTCTACTTGCAAAATAACTGCCACGGCTCAAAAAATAGTCAAAATGTAAAGAACCAGTTTCCCAATAAGCCAATGTTCTAGAGTAGAAGCAAAAGAACCGTATATCACAAGCTTTCTTTTCCACAATGAGTCGTCAGCTGCTATTGGTTGGCATTTCCATCTTCCAGCCTTTTAGTACAATCGACAGATAATAGAAAATGAATTCTTTCTAAATCCTGTTTTTTTAATTAATAATTCGATTTTTTTTGGATTATATTCTTTTTTTTAAGTATATTCTCTATTTGATATTATTTGATAATATATTTTTAGAATTTTTATATTTAGAATTTCTATTACAAAAAATATTATATTTCTAAATATTTAAATAAAATCTGAAATAACCTTATTTTTAATATATAAATCTATTTTATTTATATTTGAAATAGTTATTATATAATATTTAACTTTATTCTATAATTTCTTCTTTAGATTTATTATAATTAATTCTTTTTTGATTTTAGTTTAATATTCGTTTTTAATATTTAATTTATTTTCTTGCTTT